GAGTCGGAAGCGGCCCCGCGCCCCCAGGCGCTCCGGCGGCTTCGCAGGGCTTGGCAGCCGGCAGGTGCGGGGATGCGGGGAGCGTGCAGCGGGGCTGCTGGGCCCGGTACGTCGCCGTCTGCCCCGCAGCCCCCCTCGGGCCGCCAGGCGGGCTGGGGCGCGGGCCGCGCGTTGCTGCAGCTCTTGCACGGGGTGGGGGGCACCCTGGCCCAGCGGGGGGGGGAAGAGGGGAGAGCCCAGCCGTGCAGGGAAGCCCACCGCAGCAGCCGGCGCAGGAGGTGCAGAGGCCGCGCTCCGGGGGGTCGAGCCAGGGGAGTGGGGGCTCTTTGCCCGTGCACCGCGCCTGGGCCCTGAGGCTGCCCCGGGGTTCCCTTGTTATGGGCGGGTGCAGGGGCCAGGAGGAGAGGGGCTGGCTGGTGGCGGAGCCCTGCCTCAGTGCTGTGGATTTAAGTCCTGGTGCTGACACCACGTTGCTTTTCAGGGTGGGGCTGAGCGTGCAGAGCCTGTTTGCCTGCAGAGCAGCCGGCGATGCGGGAGAAGTGGCCTGTGGGAGGGTGGCATAGCCAGGTTGGCCCTTTGGCAGGGTGGTTCAGGACACTGCCAGTGGTGGCAGGGGCTGCGGGTTCAAGTCCCTGATCGGCTTGAGGCCCCTGGCCGCCATCTACTACGCAACCGTTTCCCCCTCCGGCGCTTGCCTACTAGTTGGAGCTCAGGGGTGATCATGGTTGCAAGTCGGAGGGGACTTGAAGTTGTAGCCCAAGTTGGATATGTCCTGAGCCACCCGGTGGCCCACCGGGTTTTTTTTAGTGTGGTTTTGGGGCGCAGGGGCAGAAAACAGTAAACCCCTGCTCTTCAAAGTGCAAAAAGGCACCACCCCCAGGCTCCCCACCACAGCCTCATTGAGGGCTCCTGCCCACCAGGGCTCACTGAGGAGCAGGGGGGCTGAGGGCTCCAGCCATGCTGGGGCTTGAACCCACAACCTTTGCCACCTAGGGTAGCACCCTTACCACCAGAGTACCAGGGAAGGCTGAGAAGTGCTGGTGCCGTGGGCCCCTTGAGGCGCAGCGGCCAGGCTCCGCCATGACAAGAGGAAGGCGCCTGCCTGCAGAACAGGGAGAAACCTGGACTGGAACCCAGGTCCTCTGCCCTCACATAGGGAAGCCCAGCACCGTGCACCACAGGGCCCAGCTGGCTCCCTACTTCACTTCTGGGCCCCTTGACTCTTTCCATGCAGACGCGCACAGGCCGCGCTACAAGGGGAGCTCCGGGAAGGCTGCGGGCCCAGGCAGCCGCGTGGCCTGGGGGCCAAGGCCCCATCCTTTCGACTCTGCACAAGGCCAGCATCGGCCAGGCCCGGCTTTCACCCTTGTTTTGCCCAGCTGCTGTGGGCCAAGGACCATCATATTTGCAATGCTG